TTCCTGATGTCATTAAGCTACAAATCATGAGCCGCTTCTCACTTTAACCACATGGTACAGGACTGCACTGGACATCAGCCCAGACTAAGTTCCAAAACTCTGTACCTAGAAAAAAAGTTCTGGGCAACAGATGCTAACCACAAGACCCAGACAGGAGCACCGTGCAGCTTCTCAACCAACTTGTCTCTCTATTCTGTGCCAAGGGCTCCAAAGAGGGACTGGCCCATGTCTTGGGTCACCCCCGTGGGTTCTGCTCTGTTGGCCCCTGGGGCACAAGGCGGAATCTTTAGGCAGGAGAGCTGGGCCTGCAGGCCTGCAGAACATTGTTCTTTTTCTTGGCTAAGGAGACAATAGGTCATCTCATGACTGAAGAAGCCTCCCAATCTTGCTGAATGCTTGAAGGGACGAGTGCAATGCCAATACGTTTGCGTCCAAATGACATTTATTTAATCTGACTTCTGTGGATTATTGAGTAGCGGTGCTGAGCCAGCTAGAACTGAGTTGAGGCCCAGTACGCCTATCCACTGAGGTCTGTTCAGCTCTCTCTCCCTAAAAGCACCTACTCCTCTCTCCACATCACCCTCCTGTGTCCCTGGCTTTCAGCCCGGATGATGCTTTTCTATGGACCCTGCCTTAGTTTGGGAACTCAGTATTTGCACAAGCTGAATGCCTTTATACCTTTCTTATTATTTTTCTTTTGTGTGGGTGTTTTGCCAGCATGTGTCTGTTCACTATGTGCATACCTGGTGCCTGCAGAAGCCAGAAGAGGGCCTAGGTTTCCCTGCAGCTGGAGTTATAGTTATGAGCTGCCATGTGGTTGCCGGGAATCAAACCTGGGACATCTGGAAGCCAGTGCTCTTAACCACTAAGCCATCTCTCCAGCCCCTCTAATTTTAATAGTGTGCATCCATTGTACTAAAGAGAGGTTAGGTCCTATTTTGGTCATACCTCCATCACCCTCTCGTGGGCCCTTTTCCCTCTCACTGGCCCCTTTCCTTTTTCTAGAGTCCACCTTATATTTTTATATCTTTTAATCAAATCTAGATCCCAAATACCAGAGAAAATGTGTGACATTTGTATGACCCTGTCTCATTTAATATGATGATCTAATCATTTTCCTGCCAATGAACATGGTTTTGTCCTTTTAAACATGTTTTAAAGATTGATTTACTTTTGCATGTATGATTGTTTTTCCTGCATGAATGTATGTGCACCACATGTGTGCCTGGTGCCCACATAAGTCAGAAGAGGGTGTTGGATCCCCTGGAACTGAAATTACAGCTGGTTGTGAGCCACCATGTGAGTGCTGGCAACCAAACCTGGGTCCTCTGCAAAAGGAGAAAGTGCTCCTAACTACTAGCCATCTCCCCCAACCCCATGATTTTGTTCTTTATGTTGGATAAAGCTTGGTGGAATATGATTTTTTTATGTCATTTCCGTAGCTATGTATGATGGGCATTATTCTCAATTAGCAGATGGCAAAGATCAAGAAAAGTTCAGAGATTGGCTGAGGCTCCCATGGACACCAGGTGCCGAGCAGGAAGTGAATCCAGGTCTCCCAATTCCCAAACTATGGCCCTGCCACTCTTTATGGTGTATCTCTAGTGGTGAAACTAAGGCATGAAGACAAGGAAGATGTTTGGGGTCAGGAGGATCCTGAATGTTTGTGGGAGTATTTTGTAAGTATGAAGTTCAATACAGACACATGGAGAGATGTGGGAATTCAGTCCAATAACCAATTGTATTGAAGCAGCTTGGTCCAATGGGCGTGGTCTTCTCTGGAGATATGTGACCGGATAAAAACTAGGGAGAAGAGGTGCCCCCCCCCACCTTGGACTGTGGAGGGCTTGCTGAAGCCACAGCTCAGTGACCTTCTTTGGACCTTCCCCATCTCCTTTTGGAGTGACAGGCGGTAACAGCTGGCTCAGCAGCAGCGTCACTGATTCGTTTCTGTATCGTGAGTGCACTGTATTGAAAAAACCTGACTTTATCCCGACCTCCTTTCCTGCATTACGTGGGGCTCAAACCCACAACCCTGAGATTAAGAGTCTCATGCTCTACCGACTGAGCTAGCCGGGCTAGAGATCCAACTATGTTGACAACACAAGAACTTCTACCACCTCCTGCACTCAGGGCCAGACGATACAATCTCTTGTGATGGTTCATCTTTTAGTGTCGACTCGACTGGATTTAGAATCATGGACATGTCTGTGAGGATGTAACAGAGAAGACCCACCCTGAGTGTGAATGGCACCATTACATGGGTGGGATCCTGGATCAAATTAAAAAGAGAGCGCTAGCTGAGCACCAACATTCATTCTCTCTGCTTCCTGACTACAAACACAATGTGACCCACTCCCTCACATCTTGCCGCCATGCCTGGCCTGCCACGATGGGCTGCACCCCCAAACTGTGAGCCCAAACGAACCCTTCCTTCCTTAAGGTGCTCCTTCCAGGTAGCTAATACACGCACCTATCAGTGCAAAGAATTAGTCACCCGCCTGTCCCGGTTGAGTGCGCTGTAGGGTGAATGATGTTTCTCCTCTAGGAGATCTAATTAGTCCCCGGGCTCATCTCCCATCTACACCCCTGTAGTTACTCTCTCTCCCTCTGACCACATTCCATCTGCAGCCAGACATCTCACTGGAGGCCAAGGCTAAACACCTCTATTGGGTCTGAAAACCTCAGAAGTTCTATTCTTCCTGCATAGAAGTCTGGGCTCTTGAGCTTGTTCATGAGGTTGTACAGAGGAGAGGGGTCTGTCCCTGCAGACACTTTCCTTCTACCCACTGTGCTCAGACACCCCCTTGCACTCCTGGCCAAGTTAACTATCCCTCAATTAGCCTCAACAGTATCCCCTAGAAGGGCTCTCACTAGGCAAGTTGGGGGTCATTGCCTGACCCCCATGGCCACCCTGAACCCTGAGAATACCATTACTAGTACTGAAGTGCAATCGTGTGGCCTCTCCTGTGGCCCCATTAGATGTCTGGCTCTGTGGGCAAAGGTCAGCTCTGTGACATCCAGTCCTTGTAGTAGGTACTATGTGTAAGTTTGAATTCTTGTCTGTGAGTGACTTGACATCTTTCTGTGCCACCCTGGTCTAGCTTCTGAGGTCTGTCAGAAGGTCTTGTCAGGCCTGTTTAGCTATTGATCCTGAGCTGTCCTTTTTTGCCTTCACTAAGCACAGATGGGAGGCTGTTCTCCCACATCAAAGGCTAATGGGGGATTAATTGAGGGGTCCTCTGAGGGATCTAAGCCATTCCCTCCCATGGAGAGAAGAGCTAGGACCTATGGTGATATTTTATTTGTACTGAAATGTGATTTTATTTGTATGTTAATAAGTAAAGTTGCCTGGGGGTCAGAGCTAATAGCAAGCCATAGCAGAAGTCTGGCAGTGGTAGCACACGCCCTTAATCCCGATCACATGACAGGCAGATCTCTGTGTGTTCAAGGATACCACCAGCATGGAGACACACGCCTTTAATCTCAATACCAACCATAGAAGACCTGGAGGTCTGTATAGATGGGCAGTGATGAGGAGGTCATGTGGTTGGGTTTACAACCAATGAGAAGGCAGAATAGAAAGTCAATAAAAAGGACAAACACAAAGGAAGAGTGAATTCAAACTTACACACAGTACCTCTCTTGCGGAGGGAAGGACAGGAGCAGCAGTGTAGGGTAAGGCTTTTAGCGCTTAGCTATCACTCTGACCTCTTGGGCTTTCATCTCTGCATTGGCTCTGTGTTTCTTATTTAACAAGACAGTTACATCTACAAGGACCCATCCTCTTAACTTTAGACCTGTCATTAGAAGACTCCAGAAGGCCCCTGACTAATCTGGCTTGGCTCATTTACCCAATGTACTAACCAAGGGGTTATTGTGTCTACAACCTATGAACCACCAGCAGACAGCACACTGACCTGGCAGATACCAGCAAATGTGGCCACACCCTGGGGGCAGGTGTAGGAGCAAATGGACAGATGAGAAGTGGCTTCCTTGCCAATTCTAATGACCCAGTCGGCCCTCGACAGTTGAGAGATTATCTGGCTCCTTGCTCTGGATAAGTCTGGGGAGGTTCACAAGAAGCCATTCTAGCTGGACCTTTGGACTTTATCCAAAACTTGGGATAAAGTCCTGGAGATGTTGGAAGCAAGCCATTGCAGGTTGATGCTTTGGGACAATCTGGTGTCAACATGGCCACTCTCTTGAAGGAGGGAGACACTGATACACATCTGGAGGGCTTTGAAGCTGCCCCACCTCCATCTCAGCCTCTAGACTCCTGCACTTGTTAATTCCATCTCTGCTTCCTCACTGGAGATAATGGCACCCAGTGAGCCAGGGCAAAGAGAACTCTGGGCTGCCCTCATCCGCAATTTCTCACTGTAACAGTCTAAGAAAGCCCCAAAGCTAGAACCCAACTGGGGCAGCAGGAGACTCCCACACCAGGGAAGCACGGAGGCCCGCAGGATTGGCTGACATGCCTGCCAGTCAAGTTATGCTTCTGCCTCCCCCGTGACCATCCTCACAGACTCTTATGTCCAGGCTTTCTTGGAGGCTGTCTGGTGCTACCTGGAAGGATGCTGCCTGGGCCAAATGGCATCATGAGGTCCCCACACTCCTGGAAAAGACAGCAGGCTCAAAGGAACCTTCAGGAGCAACAGAGGGGTTGGGGCAAGGGTGTACCTATCCTGACAGCCTTCCCCACAGGAAGGAAGGACCTGTTTCTCACTCCTCCCACATCTGACCACAGGACCAGCCAACTGTGGGTGACCAGTCACTGAGGTGGAATGCAGAAGGCTTTGAGTCACTGGAAACCCCTGATTAGTCTCCAGGTCTCCACAGAGGGGACAGAGATCCATTCACTCTGACAAATCTGACACCCAGGCCATGAGAAAGAGATGAGGTCCTCTTACAGGGGACTGTCTGGTCTTCTGCTGGGTCCCTCCACCAACAGCTACATGAAACAGGTCACGGCTCAGGGAAGAAAACACACCACTGAGTAACAGTCTGCTTGTGCTTTTGACACATTATTGGTTTTTATTTAAAAACATGCTAAAAACATGGTGTTCGGTAAAGCAGGGCCTGGGATGTAGGAGATGCGGACAAGGCATTGCAAGCAGAAAGTGCATTCGAAACCAATAAGCGTGCACTCCTGGCTCTCTGGCCACCCGGGGACAGCAAGGCATGTGGAGGCCCAAAGGCCGGACTCCTCCGAATGCCCACTGAGGGAGAGGAGGCCAGGACCCCACCATCATGGAGGAGGGAAGGGAAATGAGAGAACAGGAACATGGGAGGGGACCCCGGACCAAGGGGCTGAGGGGCACGGAACAGACCCCGAGCACCTGGCACCCGGCTCCCCTTCCTGTGCCATGTCCTGCTTTAGCACCTCCACCAGCGGGTGGGCAGGGGGCCAGAGAAGGGGGCAACAATTCCATCCACTTCAAGTGCCTGGAGGCTTAGCCACTCAGTTCTAAGTTAGGCCAGAACACGTGCGAGGGGGAGAGCTGAGGTGCTGGCCCAGACTGGCCCAGAGACAGGATGACACTGTCCGAGCTCCAAGAGCAGAGGCACAAGGAGACTTGCGCCTTGACACCTGTCAGGCACCTGAGAGCCGTTTCCAGACCCTGCCCACTGAGGCCCTCTGCTAGCCGGCTGTGGAGAAACGCCACAGCTACGCCGGGCATTTCCTTGAAGTCACCTGCAAACCAAGAGGACTTTCCGAGTCTGGTCTGCAGACTGCTCGTGGGGGACCTAGTGGAAACAGCTTTGCCTCAGGCAAGGCAAGAGCAGGTGAGGGAGGTCTCATGGCGGGATTGTCCTCAGTGAACTCACAGCCAAGAGGATCAGAGCTGGCCTCACCTGGTGTGGCCGTCTAGTGTATGGGGGCCATTCCCCGAGACAGGCAAGGGGTTCAGGACACCCACCCTGTGCATGGAGACCTCTGTCCCATGTAGACTCTGCAGATGACCGCACAGCCACACCCAGCTAAAGCAAGAAGGCAGTTTGGGACTTGTGGTCTGGCTCTGCTGAACAGACAGCTGAGGTGGGGCTGCTGAGGGTGGGGAACTTCGGCTGCGGCTCCTCTGGGGACTAGCACCACCCTGAAGCACTCTAGAGACCTGAGGTGGCAGGGAGGCTAAATCCTTCCCGGTGTCCCGGGAGATGTACTGTTGATATTAATGGAAGTTAAAAATCCCACTGATAGGTACAAACAAACCCGCCCACTCCGCCCACACAAACCTGTTATGCAGCAGGCGCCACATTTTTTCCTTCCGATTGTTGAATGGGTCTACCTGAACTCTGTATCCTGGGGTCCCCAGGGAGGTGGCTGTTGTTCCCCTAATAACACAGGTCCATCTCCTGGAACTGGCCAACTCTGTCCAAGTTGCTTAGAGCCCCCTGGTATCCTCTCTCACCCCCAAAACGTGAACCCTGGACGCACTGAAAGTTCCCCATCCCTGCCCTGCCTTGTCTGTTATTCAAGGAAGTCAGAGAGGCTATCGGTTGGCTGGGTGGTGTGGCTAGGTGGGGGAAGACCTGGCCCGGTGGGAAAGAGTGGTAAGGAGTCAAATGGCAGGGGGAAAGCAGCTGCCACATGAAGCCCGTGGCACTCTGGATCCCAGACGGCTGCTGGGCCAGTCCCACAGCCTTGCCTTTACTCTGCTCACGGAAGGGCAAACTGGGTATCAGTGCTGGCAGAACTGCGGCTACAGCTGGGAATATGGCCTGCCTCCATCTCCTCCGCCCGGCACGGGGCGTCCAAAACGAGGGCCTTCTCCCCAGTACTGCTGTGGCCATGTGAGCCTGACTTCTCAGAGTTCTGGGTCTTGTCTTTGAGGTTACGTGGGATGTGATGCCTGCCACCCAATGTGGACAGCAATGGATCCTAAGGAGGGAGGGTCCTGAGACCTATGGCCCTTTCCCTTCCCCTCAGTAGGGAAGTCTGAGTGAGTCAGGTGGGGTTGACCACAGATGCCAACTCTGCCTCCCCTCCTGGTAGTCCTGAGACTCTGTTTCAGTCTGGGAAGCTGAACACGTCAGCTTCCTCTGCCCAGAACAGGGTGGGCAGAGTGGGATCTGAACCAGAGGAATCCGTAGCAGGAATGTGTGAGAGTGACCATCTGGGATGCAGGATGCATGTGGGTCAGGAAGGAAGCCTGCAGAGGACTGAGAGAGGAGGAGGGAAATGACACAAACTGGTCGGATTGCCGCCCCCCAGCAAAGCATTTCACTACCCCGTCCTAAGCATCCCCTACAGATGTGACCCCCCCAGCTCAGGCACCACCCCATCACTCCTGAGTAGGATGTCCCACCATGCTTTATATCACACCTGTCTCTTCTGGCCCTACCCATGGTTGCCAGGCCTGGGTATCATGGCTGCACCCTCTCTTTGAGGTGAGTTCTGGGAGGGAAAACCTGGCACTTCTCACCCTAGAGCCTCATGAGTGTTGCACAGTGATGTGTCCTCACTGAAAGTGGATGGGGGTCCTTTCTCCCTACCCATCCCCACCCACAGGAAAAGGAAACTCAAACCGTTATGGAAATCAACACAGTAAAAAGTTATAAATCAGAAAGCTAATCCTAAACTTATCTGAGAGATAATATTCCTGAATAATCATAATCAGAGTAAAATAAAAAAGTTACACTATAGTATAAAAACCCAGGCAGGGTGCTCCAGGGGGCCCAACCTGGTGGTGCCACACTGCACCCTGGCCGGCTCTCTGGCTGGGCAGCCATGGACGGCAGTGGCCTTGGTGGGGCAGACTCTCCACCCCACACAGGGACAAGTGTCAGCGTGAGGAAGGGCAGGGGCAGAAGCCCATCAATGCAGGGGCTTCCTCTTTGACACCCTGCCCACCCTGGTGTCTTTGGCAAATATGCAGGTACAGGAATCCAGGCGCCCAAGCCCTGAGGTCTCTGCATGATGCCTCCTCCCTGGGCCTCTGCCCTCCAAAAGGTCCAAGGTCAAGGATGTGGGCAGGGGAGGGCAGGCTGGCTGATGGAGCAGGGTGGCCATCGGAGGGCAGACAGGAGACACAGATTCAGGTCCTCTCCCCTGGCACGTACAGTGTCCGGGTGGGGCCAGGCGCTGCCAAACGCTCAGGCATCATACTTTTTACCCGTCCGGTGGATGTGCTGGAACAGAGTCATGGAAAAAGCCATTCCCAGGATCTGAAAGACAAAGAAAGGACTTTAAAGGGATGCTCTAGTGGCCTGGGGTCTGACCTCAGTTTCACAAGCTTGGGACTGTTCTAGAGAATCTAATGTAAGAGTGGGCATAACCCAGTGTACTGGAAAGTGAGCTGGGAAACAGAGAAAGCATAGTCTAGGAGACGCTCCTGGACGCCCAGCTGAAACTCCACATAGGAGAATATAGTTCAATCCCTTTGAGCCAGATGTGCAGAAGGCCACACATCCCCAGGCTACTCACATGCTAACCTTTCAGAGGCCTGGGGAGAAGGCAGAGTGCATACAGGACCTGACCCTCCACATGGTAAGAGGAGCTGAGGTAGGAGAGCAAGGACGGAAACAGAGTGGTAGGAGGCATTAGAACTCATGCCAACCCCTTGTTTGGTTCTAGAATACATGAAGTGATTTCTTTGGGCATAGGCATCTTAAACGACATTAAATCTCATTTATGCTCCTCAAGCAGAATCCTGAAAGCAGGTGGAGACACAGAGGTGCAGGCAGAGGCCACTTGTGCCGTCACCCAAGGTGCCAAGTGTCCTATTATTAAAGCTGATGACCCAGGGCACTGCGTATCTTTGGCTCTCATGGAAAGCATGTCGGATGACACTGGCTCTGACATCTAGTCCAGGGTCCCCACTTAGCACTGAGTGCCACCTCGCTCACTGCACCGGGATGGCTTCACTGCTGGGCCTGGACACTCTGCTCCCTCACACAGAAGGCTGTGTAAGCACCAGGTTAGCCCTGCTCAGACTCTAACCCGCCCAGAGGTCGGTGTGCCTGGAGTGCCCTCACCTGCATGATAAGGATGCACATCCCCACTGTACCCAGCACGTGCTTGTTGTCATCGAACCACAGCTTCACCTTCTCATAGCAGCCCTGGGGAGTGAACCACGGGTTAAGGTCCTGGCACAAGGCTGAGTTCCCAGGAGCCTGGCCCCACATGTTTTGCCCCAGTCCCTGTCTGTGCTCTTAATTCCATTAAGCCCCCACCCCCAGTATCAGCCTCCAACCCCCAGGCTCCACCTGCAAAACTCAGCTGCATAGCCTCAACCCATCTAATTCCCTCCCAAATGTGGTGCCAGCACACATGCACGTGTGTGCGTGTACACACACACACACACACACACACACACACACACACACACACAGAGCCACTGGCTTCACTCCAGCGTACCCCTCTCCCCATCCCACAGTAACTAACTCCCATCACTCCTGCAGCCCGGCCCATCCAGTACACAGGCTTCTGGGATCAGTGAGCCCGAGGCACGGCTCCCCAGCCTCACCGTTCTCCACAAGGGGGTGGTGGTGTTGTGCCCACAACCCTGGGAGTTCTCCATGCAGCAGCGGTCAGGAACTATGTTCTCCCCCAGCACTGGGTACCAGTCTGTGTAGTCGGTGACTCCACAACACCGCATCTGTGGGAGGAAGAGAGGCCGGATATGCCACTGCAGACCCCATCTTCCGAGGCTTTCCTCTTTCAGGCCAACTCCACCAAGGCAGCCACCCAAGAGCAGAGCAGGAAGGAGAAAAGGAGCTTCTTCTTGTCTCTTCTTGGAGCTGCAGCAAGCTCCCCCAGAGGTAATACGCCATTCCTCTTTCCTAGACCAGTGGGGTGGGGCAAGGCTGCTGTCCCTTGGGGCTGGGCACTATGTGGGGCAAGAGAGCCTGGCCCAATACTTGCTCACCACCACCTTAAGTTCCTTGCTTTGTGGTATGGACCCTAGCCGAATGCCAGCCCATCCACCCGCCATTCCCTCCGAGGGTCTATGTGGGGTACGCATTGGGGAATAGAGTCAACATCAGAAGCTGTCTCCTGAGCAAACACGATCTGGTAACTCCTATCCTTCATCACAAAGCTTAACCACTCACTACAGTTCCTCAGGCCTGTCCACTCCTGCGTGCACGTCATGGCACCTCCTGTACTCACCCCTCCCCAGTACTATCCCACGCTATTGTCCGACACTTCGAGTTTAGGCAAATGCCCCAGTGGGAGTGCTTTCCCCAACAGCCCGGGTACCCCAGGCTTGCCCCATCCCAGGCCATGCAGAGACCCGAGCCGCACCTCAGCCTGGATGATATTCCAGGCATTCTTGAGCCCCACGTTGTTCTCGGTGTTGTACAGCAGCAGCCCTTCTTTCAGGTCCTGCTTGGCATTCTCGTTCACCTGGTAGATCAGGGGCAACACCACAAGGTGGCTGAGACCAGGCCACTGGCTTTCCTCCCCAGAGGAAATGATGGAGTGGTGTTTCCAGATGGGGAGGGGAAGTGGCTAGAGGAGGACCCTCAGGCCTCCTGCCTAGCACTCGGCAGGCTCTGCAGCCATGGCTCCCCTGGCCTGGCCCATCCCCGGGGCTGTGTGACCTCCCACACTGCTCCCCGCTGAAGGCTTACCTTGTCCATGTAGACAAAGAAGAGGATGAGCAGGATCAACTCTGCCAGGAGAATGACCAACAGCACGATGAAGAACTGGAAATGGAAGTCCAAACATGGGTTCGGGATAGTGGCAATGGCCAGGGGCAGGTGCTAACAGAGCATGAGGGGAGGGAGACAAGGGATGGGCAGGGTTCTCAGGTCTGGGAGGATTCACCTACTCCTAAGCAAACCCAGACAGACCACATGTCACAGAGTGAGAGGGACAGAACATTATAGAAGCAATTTCCACAGACTTAGGTTAGGGAGCCCCAGGAAGCAAGGAGCATGGGGTCCAACTTACACTGAGGAGCAAACACTTGTTTTCCTTGATGGCCCCAAGGCAGCCCAGGAAGCCTGTCACCATGACAATGGTGCCTATGGCGATGACGAGGTTGGCTGCAGACAGCGAAGGGAAACTCGGGGAGAAGGTGGCAAAGTTGCCTTGGGACACGGAGAGCCAGATGCCCACTCCAAGCAGCCCGCAGCCACAGAGCTGGAGAGAGAAGAAGCCAGTTAGACCAGCATTGCTCCTGCATTCATCTCCCAGAACCCCCCAAGACCCCACCCCTGATGCTGAGCTACACAAAGGTTGTAAAAAGGCAGGTACTGTCAGAGATCCAAAGCCTGTGACACACCCTCTTTGCCACTGCATGCCTCAGTTTCCCCTCCTATACATGGACGAGGCAGCTTCATAAACCTCACAAAGTCTCTCTGAAGAGCAAGTTAAATAAGACAAAGGGGAAAACAAAACAAAAAATACACAAACATGCAGCTCAGTTTACTCTCCACTGGGCAGAGAATGGAGGGAGGCTCAGAATGGCGGCTGGGGGTGGGGCTGTGACTGGAGAAGGAAGGGCTGGTCTAGGGCAGAGGACCCAGGGCACTGGCTCAGAGAGCCAAGACTTCGGTGGGTATCTCCCACTACCCTGAACAGAAGGGCCACATACCCACTGTTCTCTGAAGTCTGAAGAGCAAGTCCATGGGTAAAAGAACAAAAGGTACTCATGGGCTGGCTACGTGGCAGGACACAGGAGTCCATGCTGTCTTCCCGTGTGGGTGAATCTTCAATGTCATCTTTGTGGGAGCCACCATGGAAGCACACCTATAGGTGGGTCTATGAGGGTATTTCCAGAGAGCCTTAACTCAGGTGGGAAGACCCACTCTGCATGTGGACGGCACCCTCCTGTCTGAGGTTAATAAATGGAGAAAGGAACAGAGTGCCGGCATCCCTCTCTCTCTGTTCCCTGACTATAGGGCACACTGTGATCAGCTGCCTCCATGCTCCCGCCGTCATGCCTTCCCCACCCTGATGGGCTGTCCCCTCAGACCGTGAGCCACAAAAATCCCCTACAGTGGCTTTTGTCAGCTATTTTCTCAAAGCAATAAGGTCGACACACTTCACCATCCACGGAACTAAGCCGACTGTGTGCACGATGGCCCTGTAAACCGACCCTCTTCTCCAGCACCCCTGGAGCTCTGACTGAAACCTGGGAAAGCATCCCTTTCACAGCTGCAAGCCTCCACACCTGCACTGTTTTATGCTCTGTTTAATCGACACTCTTTGCTCCCTCCGAGCTCCAGGGAAGTGTGCTGAGTCTGAGGAGCCAATCCATCAGTCAGCCAATATTTATTGAGTACCTACAGCACAGTGTCCTATACCAGAAAAGCTACAGCCACATTAGAGACCTGCCTTCCAGGGGCCTCCATTCTGAATGGAGCTGAATGGGAGCAATGAGAAAGCAGCATCTACCAGTATACAGTGGTGCCAAATAACAGCTGCAGGCATTTAGAAGAGGCAATCACTGTCCTGGTCAGAGACACCAGTTGGAGGGAGCAGTCACCAAAGGCTGGGTGGACACAAGGCAGGTGGAAGACAAGAATTTTCCACACACAGGGAGAGGGTAAATGATAAGGACTTGAGTCACAGGTGTGGACTTACCACTCAGCTTTGCCCGCCCTGACTTTGTGACCTTACAAACTTCAGGGGTGCAGGTGCCCTTCCATGGGCTAATTAGATGGCTAGTCTTGATTGTCTACTTGACGACATCAAGATTAAAACTCAAGAGGCTGAGTACACCTGCAAGGGATTTTTCTTGATTGAATTATTTGAAGTGGAAAGACTCCCTCTCAATCCAGATCTTTTGAGGATCTTTTGAGATCCACCTTAAATCTGGGCCACACCTTCTGGTGGCAGCCTATATCCCTGTATAAAGGACATGGAAGAAGGAGTGCTTGCTCTCTGCCTGCCTGCCCTCAATATTGCTGGCCACTCCATTCCTTCACTGATATTAGAGCCTACTTCTTCAGGATTCTGGTGTATACTAAAGACCAGCTGTGTATTCCAAAGACAGCCAGCCTCAAAGACTGAACAACTACTGGATTCTTGGGGAAGACAGCCATTATTGGAATAGTTGGACCATGGTCTATAAACCACTCTAATAAATCCTGTGTGTGTGTGTGTGTGTGTGTGTGTGTGTGTGTGTGTGTGTGTGTGTGTGTGTGTATGTATGTGTTCGTTCTATAATTTGTTTCTCTAGAGAACCCTAACTAATAAAACTAATAAATATGGAGCATTGTTTGTTGAAAGGCATTTCCTGAGCAGCTACTGGGTGCTGGGACTGTGCTGATTGCCCGACTGTCTGAAGTGAGTGCAGCTCCCACTTGCCAGCTGCTCTCACGGTGGGGAAGGAACACAGACAGACAAGGCAATCCATGCTCAGGCACTCAAGGTGAGGGGAAAGGGCATCGGCTTCCAGGAGTTACGTTTCCTTCACTCATACAGCCCACAGACTCTAACCAGGCACATGGTTCTCAAATGCCAGGCCAAGGAGAAAGCTGTGAACAGTCCTGGCCAACGCCTGCCTGATGGAAAGAAGATTCTCATGGGCACGCACACACATGACCAATACAAGCACAGATAAAATAAAAAGATGCAGTGTGCCATATAAGTAAAGATGCAAGGATGTTCAGAAAAAGGATAGATCAAGTTAAAAGGCCTCAAGTTAGGACCGAGCCTGTCTGTCAAGGAGGAGTAAGCTGCTGTGTGGCTGCCACAGAATGACTGTGGTGACATGTGGCAGAAGATAAAAGAGGCCATGCAGCCAGGGGACAGATAGGACAGAACCTGGAAGGTAGGAAAATGCGGGTGTTCTGCCCCAGGGCTGAGCATGACATGATCCAACAAATGTTTTTGACAATCATCAAAGCTGCTGTTCCCAGAAGAGGCCACTGAGGCAAGAGACAGGCAGCACATGCAGAGACTATGGCAGTGACTTGGGGAGAGCTGATGGCCACACATCAGGTGACTGTGCAGGAGCAATGAAACGTGGTTCAGTGGGAGACAGGCAGTGTCGGAAGTCAGCTGGCCTTGAGGACCGTAGAGAATTCTGATAAATGGGAAAACAGAAAGGTGGCACACACACACACACACACACACACACACACACACACACACACACATGCTCTATTACTAAGCCACAGGTGATTCAAGGATCTGTAAGGGACCAGAGTTAGGTCACATAATGGCTTTTGCACCAGAGTGACCTCAAGTGAGACCCAGGTCAAGGATCCTAGGATTCTGGCCTTCACAAGGCCCAGAGCTACCACCCCTTCAAAGCCATGGAGAGAATGAGTGTGTGCCAATGCCCTCTGTGACCACTAGGTGGTGCTCCTGCCTGGTTCAGAAGCTTGTGGGGTTGGCCTGCGATGCCCTAAACTTGCATCCAGCCTGTCACCCTGACTTTCTTCAATCCGGTCAGTTTTCGGTGCTGCCATCTCAATTTTTCCTTCATTAATCATACCCTGGAAAATTCACGATTTTGAACCAAAGATTTATGGCTCTAGAAATAGGACCCTGGAATGAGAAACAGAAAACCCTCCGGGGCAGGTATTCGTTTTAGATGGAGGAGCCTGGCCTGGGGACTCCTGGGGCTACAAGATGCCCCCACCCCCATCTGCTGCAGCCTCCATGGTGTCTATACCCCAGGCCTGGAATCCTCAAGGCAGAGCCTTCTCCATCCTACTCATCAGGAGCAAGCTACTAGGGTCACTTCTATCTTGGGGAGCTCCTATGGTGACCAGGAGCGTTTCCCTGGGAAACCTCAGCAGTTCAGAGCCTCCCAGGGCCATGTTTCTCCCAACTGGTTCTCTGACTTCACACTCCATGTCCGTCAATATGGTCTTTAAGCTTCACAAATGTCAGCTCAGGGACCTTCTTCCACCTAGAGGATGAGAGCTGAACGCCACACTGCATTTCGTCTTCCTTCCCACCTGAGGTCCCAGTGGGCTGACATCTAGGCAGTCCCAGCACATCAGAACCCGAGCCTGACTCTCAAAACCCCCATACCAGTTCCTCACCTCCCACCAGGCCCCCACCCCTAGTTCTCGGGCAACCTGCTGTGCCACAGGGCATGCACAGTGTGACCCACGTCCTCGGGGTCTCCAGTTGACATTCCACTAGTGGCTACAGATGACCCAGCCCCACCTGAGGCTCCAGGCAAGAAGAAAACAAAGACTTGGGCTTCATCGTACAGCAAATGACACTGGGGAAGGCATGAGAGACACTGCCAGGCTGGGACACTCAGGTGCTGCTCTTCCTGTTTCTGCTACTCCCTAGGAGACCTAACTGCCAAGTTGACAAGCACCAAGACATCCTGCCTCAGCCCCTACCCATACTAGACTCCTCTGTCCTGGCCCTGCTTTTCAGTCTGTGCTATAGAAAGCTGCCAGGACCCCTTTTCCAAAATGCCTCTTTCCTCACATGGGTCTATGTGCCTTTAATATTCTGTAGGCCTCTGAGGCCAGATTCCCTTTAAACTGTGTGGTTCAGATTGGACCACTGCTCTGGTCACTTCTAGCCTAGGCCTAGCCAAGCTTCAGGAATGCTGCCTTCACCTCCTAGACCAGTGAATCTCAGGTAGGAGAGGTCCTGCTCACTGGGGACCTCAGACATGTCTGGAGACACTTCTGTTGTCACAACTGAAGTAGGAGAGGACAGAGGAAATACTCTTGGTATGTAGAGGACAAAGGCCAAGGGACACAGTTGACCAAGCCACAGTGCTCAGGACAGGCCACCACAGGGAACTATTTGGCCCCCGGTACCAAAGAGACTGGGAAACCCTGTCCTGAGCCCCCTCTCCGGCCAGGTGCCAGTTAACTCCTCGAGAACACTGACTGCCACTACGGAGAGCTCCTCTTCTCCCTGCTGACCCAGAAAAGGATGGGGAAGCGGCGGCGCACGCTCTCTGGGAGGCTTCAAGCTGGGGCAGAAGCAGGCCAGAGCTCAGATCGAGCTGATGGCTGTGGGCAAGAGAGAGGAGGTGACTGCAGACACAGGTTTATTGTGGAGTCAGGGAACAAGGCCTGCCCTGGGTAGGTAGGAGGACATGAAGACAGGAAGCCAGCTCTGATGTCAGAGCAGGGTCATGGCCAGGGTAAGGCAGCAGAAGGGCAGGGAACCACCTCCATCCCTAAGGTGGGATCCATTCAGGAAGC